TCCTGCCTCGGCCTCCTACGTGCTGGGCTTACAGGAGCTTGTGACTATACATGGCCAGTGTTCACTTTTCGTTGTAAAGGAGTGAAATGAACTCGCTCTTCCAAAATGAAATTGTGTCAGTTATGCTGGCAGATCCCTCCCATTTCTGAGAGTAGATTTTCACATTTGTTACCTTTATACCTTGATGTAGACTTAGATTTTTTTCAGTTAGTTTTTCTTTCTTTTTTTAAAAAAATATTTATTTATATTTATTACATTTATTTATTGTGTGTGTGTGTGTGTGTGGCCAGCTCAGCCCACCAGGGGGCGGGGCTGGCTGGCATGTGGTGCTGGAGGATTGAACCGCGGTCCCTGTGCTTTGCCAAACTTGTTTCAAGTAGGTGCTTTAGACCACTGAGCCATCTCTCCAGCCCCTCAGTTAGTTTTTCATTTCTCTTCTTTTTCTTACTTACTTGGACATTTGCATGTTGTTTTCAGATTTAGATTCTAAAATCACTTCTTTCATTTTGGTAGACTTTTCTGGTTGAATCAGCTTTGCTGATAAATTTTGTCTTCGTTCCATTGATGGACAGACCTTTTTTCTTCATTTTTTGTATGTGCATGTTTGCTACTGGGTCTATATATCTGCTTCTCTTCCAGTTCAAAAGATTGCCCTTCTAAGTGACAGCTTCAACGTCATCCAAGGCCCCACGCTGGCTTAGATTATTAAAGCGTTCCTGTACGAGGTAACAGATGGTGCAGTTCAAGGTGAGACCATAGCGGTAGATTGAGTTTCACCTGGATCGAAATCAGATCCCCACTCTCTTGAGGAGCCGAACGTATTTGCTCTTCTATTTGGAATGACTCTCCTTGTCCTGAAAGGCCCGTTCCTTGCAAGGGAGCTCGCCTGAGCGGTGCCTTCGGCTTGCTGCGAAGCCAGCTTCACTTTCTGTGCATCCAGCTGCCACGCAGGGCGGTGACACTCCTCTCAGCTCTAGGGTGGTGTCACAGGGAGGGAGCCCTGTGACAACATCCTGTTGCGGTCTTGGAAATTGTTCAGCAGTGTACAAGGGTTGGTAATTACTCGGCTCAGTGCAGGTATAAAGAACCTGCATTTCCCAACCTCTCCCAAGTTTTTATTGCTTTTCTCTTTCTTTTGCTTCTTTCTGTCCTCAGAATTATCATCAAGGGACTTTTCCTGGCACCCTTCCCTGGCCATCTTCTGCCTGGGCCACTCCTTCTGTGAGACTCATCCTCTTCCCCACATCCCAAGCCTCCCCGAAGCTGCCCCACCCTATGTGAGCCCTGAGCTCCAGGCCTGTGGTTCTGACGACCACTGTGGCTGCATTTGTCCTCAAGAATACACTCTGCTCCCCCTCCCCTTCCCCTCCCCTCCCTCTCTCACTCCCCCTCCTCCCCCTCCTCCTCCTTTTTCTTTTTTGACACAAGGTCTTGCTATGCAGTACAGGCTGACTTTCAGCAACCCTCCTGCCTCAGCTTCTTTGCGCTGGGGATACGTGTGCGCCTCCACAGCGGGCCTCACAGCGCCCTTATTCTGGAGCAGTCTACATGTGCATCCAAAAGGAGCTGGCAGAACATCCCCATTTTTTTAACCAAAATCCTCTGGATCCACCCACCCATTCCCTCGTGTAAAATATGCACTGAGGCCTACTCTTTCTAATAACGTTTACTAAAAACTTCCAGGACAGCATGGCCTTAAAAATGAGATATAATTAACAAGGTACATAGTGAGCCAAGTTAGAAGGCAGGACCCTGCACGGCTGAAGCTTCTGGTACAGTACGCCTTCAGCTAGAGAAGGGCTTGAGCGCTCTCCAGGCTAATCTCTCTCTTGCACCACATGGGGTTTGTGCATTTTCAGTCTCTTAGGGCTGCCGGCTGAGCCCTGGTTCAGCGCCCAGACTGCCGCTACCTGCAGGCCAGAGACTTTCTGGAGGCCGCCACTACTACTCGGGACAGGAGCCCCTAAAGGTGGTTAATAACGCCACACAGAGGTTTGCGCTTCCACGTAGGAAATTGGATATACAAGCGCACAGCCCATAACAGTGTCTCTATCAGAAACCCGCTCCCTCGCGGTGCAAGTTCCTATAACGCAGAGCTCGCCAAAGGCCTGATGTTGGCTCCCCCTGCCAACCCCTTAGCTCTGGCCTTGCAGGCACGGCTTGGTGCTCCTGTGTGCGCACAGCTCCATGGCGCGAAGGTGCCGCTGGCCTGGGTAAAACTGGCGTCCAACACTTGTAAAATTCCCTTAGTTCCAAAAATAATGTACATTCTCCTGCTTGCTCAGCCAACGAAGAAAACCCCGTTACATTATTTAGCAAGTAACTAACCTGGCTTCCTTGAAATAAGCATCCAGGTATCTGAAGCTGGTATCTGAAGCTCTACCGACTGCAGAAGCGCTCCTGGCACTTTCACAGCTACCATGCTGAAGTCACTTTCAAAACAGTGAGGTCCTGGGATGGCTCCCCATCACACCTTTCCTGGCTTCAGGTTTAACTGTTGTGCACCTAGAATACAGCTGTACTTGGGCTCCAGGAGATTTGCATCCCACCTTTGTACAGAACCTGCTAACTTATGGAGCATTTATCACAACGTTCAACCGCACCTACAAACAGTGCCAGCTTTTTCGGAAAAAAAATGGGTGGCTCTGAAAAGAGCCTTTGGGGTGCGCGCACGGGAGCGCTCACTTGGAGCTCGTGTACTTGGTGACGGCCTTGGTGCCCTCCGACACCGCGTGCTTGGCCAGCTCCCCGGGCAGCAGCAGCCGCACGGCCGTCTGGATCTCCCGCGACGTGATGGTCGAGCGCTTGTTGTAGTGCGCCAGGCGCGACGCCTCGCCCGCGATGCGCTCGAAGATGTCGTT